ACACACACACACACACACACACACACACACCTCAAGACAGTCATTTTATACAATTATATACAGAAGGAAACTGTTCTACTGTGTTACAATCTTTGGAATATAAGTTGCAAATTTCTTGCAGTGAAATTACACTAGGGCACACAGAACAACAGAGAGTAATAGCATTGTACATAGTACAGTATATCTCAGTATATCAGATTACACAAATAAGTACTTTACACTAAACACATTTATATTACAAAATTGAGCACTTTTTCACAACATACAAAAAAAAACTAGTAAAAACAGCATAATCCCCAACCGCTACAAAAATATTCTTGTACAAAATTTCCTTTGGTATGTTTTACGGTAAATGGTAAACATTTAAATATAAATACATGAAAAAGCATTTACACAAATATTTAAAACACTGATGGAGTTTTACAAGTTTCATAAGGATATATAAAACAAAACATGGCTTAAATTTTAGATGAAACCCATACAGATACAGACAGTAAGTAATCAGCATCAATAATGAAAACTGAAATATGAAATATGATATTGGACTGTGATGCACTGGCATCCCATCCAGGGTGAACCCTTGCTTTGTGCCCTACATTGCCCTTCCATACCATGTGCAGGATAAGCAGCGGGAAGATGAATGGATAAATATTTACCAAATGACAGTATTCTTTGGCTAAAGGCCTTTTTTGAGTACATTGGATTATTTTGTAATTTGGTTTATTTCTATTTCATTTAAGGAAAGACTTGAAATAAATTACCTGTTTTCAAGGGAACATGTAACCTCTTGACATCTTGATGAAGATCTAGTAGAGAAGGATCTTATTTGTAGGAGGTATGTAGCTGTCTTTGTGCCGGTTTGCACAAGATGGGTTCTGTGGCTCATACGTGTTTGCCTGTGAGGAAGAACATGGGCCGGTCCTCTTTGGTGTTGGCCGTCTGGAATTCATCCCGCAGCCGGAACCTCCACTGGTCCTCAAGCTCCAGACGGACCACCGTCTGGCGGAGGGAGTTGCGGTCGGGGCAGATCACGCACAGGGTGGCACCTGGCGTGGAGTAAGGGATGCCGACAGAGGTCAGACCCTTTTGTTCTTTGGTGGTGCATAATGGGCCGTAGGGGTTTGGTCTTTGCACAAGCTTAACTGTGGTCACAGGCGGTAGCCTAGCCGAGATAAATAATATGCCGGAATTCAAATGGAAGAGCTTTGACTTACTTCGATTTTATTTATTTATCAGGCACTTCTATACAAAACAACGTACAACTGAGGAATAAGGGATAAATACAACGGAGAAACTGACAAATAAGTTTAGCTTGTAGGCACTTTGTACATGTCAATAAAAAGCAAAGGAAACAAATGAACTTAACCCATGCTGTTATCATTAATTACTAACTCACAAATGCAGGGCTCATTTTTTCTAGGGAATACAATTTTAGGCTTAAGATTTCACCTTTTAGGAACTGGAACTTCTTGAGGAAACTGGGCGTGACGAAGGAGTCGCAGAAGTAGAGCAGCAGGCCGCTGAAGAAAAGCCCGGCGGTGCTGATGTTGATGGAGTGCGGCCTGGAGCTGATGAAACACACGGTCACCTAGAACGGGGACGGCAGGGACACGCTGATCTCACGGTCACTG